CTGAGCTGTCAACACAGAACCCGACATGAGACTCAAACCCACGGACAGTGAGACCATTGAGCTGAAGTCGGATGCTTAACTGACTGAGCCACCCAGGCACCCCCCCACCGCAATCAATTTTAGAACATCTAAACCTATTAGCAGTTACTTCCCATTTCCTTCTCAACCTTCAGACGTAGGCAACTACCAAAGACCAAGCTGTCAGTATAGATTTGCCTGTCATAGACATTACATATTAATTGACTCAAATGATATGTGATCCTTTGTGACTGGATTCTTTCACTTGGCATAGTTTTTAAAGTTCATCCGTGTTGGGGCACCTTGGTGGCTCAGTTGGTTGAGCATTCAACTTCTGCTCATGTCGTGATCTCACAGTTTGTGGGTTCGAGCCCCACATCAGGCTCTGTGTTGACAGCTCAGAGCCCAGAGCCTGCTTTGGATTCTGTGTCTGCCTAGCTCTCTGCCTCTCCCCCACTCATGCTCCGTCTCTCTCTCTCTCTCTCTCTCTCTCTCTCTCTCTCTCTCTCTCTCTCAAAAATAAATAAACATTAGAAAAAAATTTCAAGTTCATCCATGTTGTAGCATGAGTCAGTACTTCATTCTTTTTGTTACTGAATAATATTCCATTGTATGGATAGATCATGTTTTGTTTATCTATACATCAGTTGATGGACATTTGGGTTATTTCTACCTTTTGGCTATTATGAATAATACTGCAGAGGACATTCTTGTACAAGTGTTTGTATGAAAATATGGTTTCATTTCTTTTGAGTATATTCCTAGGAGTGGAATTGCTGGTTCATTTGATAATTCTGTGTTTAACATTTTGAGGAAATGCCAGACTGTTTCCAAGCCAGTCCTACCAACAGTGTATGAACACATTCATTCCTCCACATTCTTGCCAACACTTGTTATTATCTGCTTTTTCCTTTTTATCATAGCCGTCTTAGTTGGTATGCTTATTCCAGTTCATGGTACATAGTATCCCACTGAGTACTTATACCGCCTTTCATTCAGCCAGTCACTAGTTGATGGACATTTGGGTTGTTGCCATTCTTTTGCAATTGCAAGTCATGCTTCCATGAACGGATTTTTGCCTATGTCTTTGCACATGTTTGCCAGTGTTATCTTTAGGATATAGTCCCAGAGGTGAGATCGCTCCATCAAAGGGTAAATGTGTATGTAACTTTGTTAGATGTTGCCAAATTCCTCTCCATAGAAGGTGCAGCATTTCTTGTTCCCACCTGCCATGCAAGAGAGTGCCTGCCTCCTCACTGCCTCCAATATGTGGTTGAGCTTTTAGAGTTTTGCCATCCTTGTAGATAAGAGATGGTATCCTGTGATAGTTTTAATTTTCACTTATCTTATTATAAACAAGGTTGAGCATCTTCTCACATGAGTAACAGTTGTTTTAATTCTTTTTCTGTGAATTGTCCCTTCATGTCCATATCCCCACTTCTCTATAGGGTTGTTGGCCTTTTTTCTTTATGTATTAGAAGTATTTACTCTTTGTCTGGTTTATAATTGTAACGTTTTCCTCCAGCTTGGTGTTTGCCTTTTTATTTGTTTATGGTGCTGTTATATCACCATGGGAAAGTTCTTCATTTTTATGAAATCAAATTTAATAGTTCTTTCTCTTATTATTTTACGTTTTGAGTCATATTTAGGAACATTTTTCCCTCTTGTAAGTTATAGTGAAATTTACTCAGGTTTTCCTTTTGGATTTCTATGATTTAATTTTTTATATTTAAATCCCTGATTTATTTAGATTTTTTCTGGTTATATGCTATTTATTGTATATGGCTATCCAATTATCTAATTGTCCTAATATCAGTTAGTAAAAAATACATTTTTCACCTATGGATTTGAGATTCTGACTTTGTTTTATTTCAAATTTAAGAATGATACTGGATTTATTTGTGTATTTTCTATTGTTCCATTGGCCTGTCCAGGTACACATATTAACTTATTTGCAGAAGCTTTATAGTCAAGTTCAAATAACTGATAAAAGTACCCACCTTCACCTCCAATTGCTCTACTTTTTCAGGGTTTTCCTTGCAATTCTTGTTTGTATGTTCTTTCAGTAAGCTTTATTACCAACTTGCCTAGCTCTTGAAAAAAAAAACATAGTTTTTTATTTATTGGGTTTGCTTTATATTTATCACTTACTTCAGAACTTACATCTTTATGATATTTGATCTTTATGATATGATGTTCTTCCCATCTAAGAACATGTTATGTGTCTCCATTTGTTCAAGTTTATGTTTTTTGTGTTTCAGGAGTGTTTGTTTTCCTCAAAGTTTTGGAACTTCTCTTGGCTCCACATTTTATTTTTTGCTTTTATAACTGAGGGCTTTTCATCCCTTATGTCTTCTGACTGATTTGTCTATGAATACTACTGATTTGTTTACTATGGTTTTCCCATGGTTTCTCTTCTCTTTTTTTTAGACATATAATCATATACTATGAAAATGCCAACTTTTCCTGTCAAATTCTTATGCTTCTAATTGCTTTCTCCTGTCTAATGGTATGAGCAAATACCTTCAACACAATATTAAATTATAGTAGAGATAGTGGGCATTTTTACCTTGTTCCAGACTTAGTGGGAGATACTCTCATGTTCATTAAATAAGATCCTGTTTTGGACTGAGGTTTATATTTATTTATTTTATTGTGTTAAGGAGGTATACTGTCAATTCCTGTATGCTTCTGGTACTCATCATTTCTTCTCTCTTTTTTTGGCTGGAATAATTCTATGGAGAGAAACATTCCTTCGTCATCTGTCTTTTCATTTTTTAGACAGAAAGAATAGACTGGTTTAAAGGGTTTGTATTAGAGATTTCCCCTCTCCTGTCAAGTTTGTGTGAAGAAAATATTTGTACTATTTCACTTAAGAAGACAGTTTGGCTAATGTTTTTCTTACACTAGTACAGCTGTGGTTCATTTGAGGAAATCCCCCAAGAGTTGCTAAGTAATGGAAAGTGCTGTGTTCATGGCTGAGAACAGCCATTTGGATTGTGTAAACATTTGCATAATTCCAGTGAGTCAGATGTTTGGTTTTAAACCTGCACTTCATTTATTAGAATGCCCCAAATATAATAGATGTTTTAACATTTCATTTTAAAAGTATGGCTATTGAATTTAGGTAAGATAACCTGTGTTGTAGTTTTGAGAATAAAACATTCTTGTTTTCTTCTGGTGAAAGGAAAGCTACCATGAAGAAAAACACTAGAATTAGGGATAGCTTCTATTTGCTTACCTAGAAATTATCTTCATTAACATTTGAGTGTTACCTGACAATATTTGAATATGTATAATACTATTGTATTTTTGTTTCTCTGCTGATATAGCGGTATTTTCAGGGCTTTTGTCTTCCAAAATGTCTTTGGGTTGATATTTAATATACATTACATGCTCATATTAAACATATAACTAGTGATGACAGGTAGTAGGGTATTGGTTAGGAGAAGCCAACCAGATATTGAAAGTTTAGCTTGGGAAAATCTAAAAAATAAATAATTTCACAAGATAATAGAAAGTTGATTGTATGTCTAATTTCACATTCATATTTTATACTCAATTAGGCATCCATCATTTCTCGTAAAAAAGAAGCCAAAGCTGAGGAACTTCAGGAAGCGAAGGAGAAGTTAGCCAGCCTAGAGAGAGAGGTATCAGTGAAGACAAATCAGACCCGTGAATTTGATGGTACTGAAGTTTTGAAGGGAGATGAGGTAAGTTGAGGTATCTAATGGGACAAAGTTATGAGTATTCCTTTTGTTTGAAACCATTCATGTGTTTTACTTTTTTGGTTTAAATGTCAGTAATGGAAAGTTCATCTTATTTTATAAAACCTATTTATTTAAAACTGAAAAGTCTTTGCAATGGTATTAAGATATTCTTGATATATAATGACATAGATCTTAGTGATTTAACAACATAATATTCCAAATTTTCCCTTTTTAATTGGGTGAATTTATATTGGATTTATTTATTATAAGTATTAAGTTATAAAAGTAAAACAAAATGACTAGGAATTAACAGGTAAGACAAAAATTCATATTCCTTGATAAATGTAATTCCATAAAGGGCTGAGAAAATATCATCACTCAGTTACTTTGTCAATAATGTGTATTTGGCCACTGAGACTGGTGCCATTTAAATGATTTCATTGTAGGAGTACTACATGGCAATGAGAAAGAATGAAATATGGCCCTTTGTAGCAACGTGGATGGAACTGGAGAGTGTGATGCTAAGTGAAATAAGCCATACAGAGAAAGACAGATACCATATGTTTTCACTCTTACGTGGATCCTGAGAAACTTAACAGAAACCCATGGGGGAGGGGAAGGAAAAAAAAAAAAAGAGGTTAGAGTGGGAGAGAGCCAAAGCATAAGAGACTCTTAAAAACTGAGAACAAACTGAGGGCTGATGGGGGGTGGGAGGAAGGGGAGGGTGGGTTATGGGTATTGAAGAGGGCATCTTTTGGGATGAACACTGGGTGTTGTATGGAAACCAATTTGACAATAAATTTCATATATTAAAAAAAAAAGAAAAAAATAAATGACTTCATTGTAGATGCTTATAAATTTTAAAAATACAACTATATCTAATGTTGCTATATACTTAAATTTTTGAACAATGTTTCAATAGCTGTTATTTCATTTATCCTTTCAGACTCATGAGATTAGTAGGACAAGTAATATTGTCATTTATATATATGGCTAAATTTAAGCACCAAAAATATAATTCCCCATCTCATTTTCATAAAATTAGCTCAAGAATGAATGAATGAAGCAAAATATCTTGTGTGAAGGACAGTGCTTTTTTTTTTTTTTTTAAGCAAATCAAGAGATAGGTATAGGTTATATTTTAATTCCTAAACATTGCCTATACTTTACCACTTCCTACAGCTTACTTATTTTATATTAGCTACTTAGCTACTAGGCCTCAGAAAAAGCTACTTTGAAAAGCTGCTCACATCCAAACTTCAGTTTTGGCTTTGAGTAGTTATAGAATTCATACTGTTACAAATTGGCAGTGAACCTTCACTGTGCCAAACACAAGTGAGTTGTTCCCATGGTGCCACTTTTCTCTGTGGTACTTGTGATTGTAGTCTCCCAATATGCCTTTAGCTTTTGGGGAAGTAGTAGATTTCAACAGTCAGCACTTGACTGAAAAATTCCTTTGGCTTTTAACATCCACGTCCAGATTGCTTTAAGAGATGGGAATATTTTAAATGTTACTTGGAAGCCAACGGGGTGTGCTTTGTGACATCCTTGCTATCCGAGGGGGGAAAGGTTAATTATGCAACAATCTTGTTTTATAAGAGGCCACGCTTCCTCCTAGCATTTTTGTTTTTTCTTAAGAAAATGCTGCCCAACTGATAAGAAATACTAATTGCTATGGCCACAGTTGGCATGAATAGTGCTTATAAATTCAGTGTTAGATATTCCTTCTATGCAAATGTGAGGGTATAGAACGTACTGTCAACCTATTAGGTTTTATTTTTGATAAATTATGGTGAATAGAAGTGTCTGATGACAGAAAAAGGCATACTTTTCTTAAAGGGAAAAAGGTAACTTTGGAAATGAGGTCAACCTAATTTTTAAACAATATCTGGTCAGAAACTAGAACAAATTAAGTAAATCATTTGGCAGTTACCTAAAAGAACAGAAGGTATTGGGGAACATTAAGCATAATTTTGTAAAGAACAAATCTTGGTAGACCAGTTTTATTTTCTACTTTGATAAAGTGGCAGACCATATGGACAAAAGGGAGGAAGTTTGTTATACTTAAAATTATATAATATAGCTGGACTTCACTGAGGTTTCATTTGGTATCACATGGTAATCACCAAAAAATCGTGGTTTTTTGCCACCCATCTGTTAACACAGTTGGTGAGACGGCATCAAGAAGTAGTAGCATGGTATTTGGAAAGCATTTCTATGGCAGGAGTCACAAATAGGAGAACAAGGAAGGGTGGGCTAACATTTATTGAGCACTGTTTATACAAGGCTCTGTGCTAGATGCTTTACAAACACACACTCCTTTACTTCTTGTGTTCTTATTCCTGCTGTTCCCATTTTGCAGCTGGGTGAAGCTCAGGGAGATTGTAGATGCACTTCGAGGTAACAAGTGGCCAAGCTGGAATCCAGGTCTCTTTCACCTGTTCCTATAGACCTGAGCAAATCACTTCTCCATCTGTAAAATGGGGATGATTGCTCTTCACTGTCATTATGAAGAACACGCAAAATAATGGATGTCACAGCTTCCCAGTCAACATATAACATCTGGCATCCAGAAGTCATTCCTATGGGTCTCATGTCACTGCATGTGTGAGAAGCGGTGTAGTGGAATGGTTATGGGCATGGACTCTAGGATTTGATTGTTGGAGTGCAGATCCTGGCTTTGTCATCTTACTGGCTGGGCAACATTGGGCAGATTCCTTAACCTCTTTGTACTCAGCTGTAAAATGTGACTTTTATCAATATATACCTCCTGGAATTATTACTGTGCAGATTAAACGAGTTAATACCTGAAAAGTGCTTAGAATAGCACTAGCACATGCTAAGTGCTCAATAAATGCTAGCACCTGATATTTTTATATTTTCGTCAGTCACTTGAATGAAGAGTTTGAAAGCTAAGAATATAGTTTGCAGCTTAAAACTTGAACTTAGTATTTCCCAAACTGGGTGCAATTCAGTAGAAATAAATATGAAATAGTTTCTGTTTGTGGATAAATGATTTACACAGATTCAGAATGGGATGAGATAACACTAATGAGAGTCGTTTTAGCTGCTATCCACTGAGCAGTTACTGTGTGCTCAATCTTTAAAAACATATCGTTGGTGATGGTTGCACAACAGTGTGAATACACTTACTGCCACCAAACTGTACCCTGAAATATGGTTAAAATGATAAATTTTATACCGTGTATGTTTAATCACAGTAAAGCACACATGTAATATATCCTGATTCATCCTCTCAAAACACTTGTGAGGTAAACATTATCTGCATTTTGTAATTGAGAAAATAAGATTAGAGAAGTTTAAGTAACTTGCCTAATGTCATACAGTTAGTGAGTTGCAGAGTAAGGATTTGAACTCGGATCTGACAGTCACAAACTGGAAACGTTAGCCAGGTAGAAACTGTACAACAGCCATTTGTTTGGATACAAACCTTCATTCCTTGATGATCCATATGTGATTGTTTGATTAATCTTTTCTTAGAAAAATTTAGGAATGTGACTGTTAATGAGGATAAATACTATACATATAGTAATTTATATTCCTTTGTCATTTTCTTTTTAGAGGTCAGCTAGCAGTTTTTAAAGTTCAGTATTGAAGCATGCATTTTGATGCTTCCCCTGCCATTAAAGTTATTATTCCAGATGTTGCATTTTATCTGAGAATTTTAGCTCTTCTGTTTGCAGATGACAGGTACTACAGGCATTTGTACTTCACTAGACTCTCATTAGTATTCCCTGGATGTTTCTTATTAATAATAGATGAAGTGTCTAAAAATTCTCCTTTTTCTTTCATTGTACTTTGGTTATCATTTTAACATTTTAGTTTCATTGTATTGCCTTGCTTAATTATGGCAGTAAGCATAGGAATGTGTTTATTTCTTATTCTACCAGACTTCTAACGTGGGTAGGAATTTCTTGAACTGTTGAAATTATCTTCTCAGTGATAGAGATTTTCTTGCCAGTCTAGTCTATCTTGATTTCTTTTTCTTCACACCAGTATTTTTCAGGTGATAAGAAGGTTAAACTTAGAGACTAGAGTCTCTTAACATAACTGAAAATTGATACTAATGAATATGTTTCTGTGTCTTGAAGTTTTTTATATTGGATTTAAGTATGTAGTAATTAAGCACAAATCTGGTTGAATTGATATTCTCAAAGAATTTTGAATGCTGTCATCTCTGAGAGAAGTTACCCAAAAAATACCATGAAGCTTCGTCCCTAATACTGACCTGTTTGTCATTCTTATCAATAATTTAGATTAATTAATAATTAATGTTTATTATGCAGTTACACTGTGCCAGGCACCATATTAGGCTTCTTATATACATTATCTCATTTTTTTCATTGAACAACTCTAATTGTTACGATAATTATTCAAGTTTTTACAATTACGGGAACCAAGGCACAAGGAGGATTTATGCTAACTCACCAAGATCACATGGCCAGTGAGTAGTGGTGCCATGATTTGAACTGAGGTGGTCTGCCTCCTAAACCCTTAATAATTTTCACATGACAGGAAGCCAGAAGGAATAGTCAGCGAGAGACAGATGATAGAATTGGGATTCAAAGTCATCTTGGAAGCCAGGAGCATTGTGCTGAAACAAACAAAATGCTGTTAATAGGATGATAAACACAATGTTGTGGAATTCAAGTTCTGTCTGCCATCTCAACATATCACCCATAAATAATGCAGCATTAGAAAACAAATTATTATACTCCATTAATAAAAATGTAATATCCCATTTATGGTGATATTATGCCTGGAATGTTATGTTACAGTTTTGGCATATGTGTTAAGAAGGACATAGTCAAGGCAGAGTCCAGGTGTAGGTGACCAAAATGGATGAAAAGTCTGGAAACTTTTGTAGAGAGAATTGATTATGTATTAACTGAGCACACACACACAAAATAGAATTGCACTTAAATTTCAAAAGGATTATGGAAAGGATGGTGTGCAGAAAAAGAGTTAACATAGCAGGCCTG